CAAGAGTACAAGCTAAACAAGAGCAACCCAGGGCGGTACTACTAGTCCAGCCATTGGGACAGGAGTCACAAGGCCAGTCAAGACAATATAAAAGGAGTACACAATCAAGGCCCTAGCAAGTGAGAAGCTACTCGAACTAGACCAAGCTGTACACAGTGCCGCCGATGATCTTTAGGCGCAAGCGCCTTTGTAAAGATATCAGCTGTGTTGGCACCTGAGGCCAAGTGTACTACGCGGGCCTGGCGGCGCTGCTGCAGCTCACACATGAGGAAGTACCGCAGCTGGATGTGCTTCGATCTGCCCTCCAGTCGAGACTCTTTACATAGGAGGATCATGGCCCTGTTGTCAGCGTACAGGACAGGGGCAGAGCTAGGCAGCTCACCTATGTCTGTGAGCAAGAAGGTCAGCCAGCGGAGCTCCTGTGCCGCCATGGCACCAGCGTAGATCTCAGCCTCACAGCTAGATTGCGCAACAGACGATGAACGAGTGGACCTCCACGAAATGGCGCCTGCACCAAGGCTAAAGCAGTAGCCTTGGGAGGACCTGAGTGTCTGAGCGTCGTCTGCCCACGAAGCGTCTGTGTGCCCTATAAGGACCATTGGCCTTTGTCCTCCTAGCACTAGCCCTATGCCCGATGTACTTGCTTGACAACACCAAACCTTCTTAGCGACCGACCAGTACTGTTGTCGGTGTCGGCCTGTAGCCAAAAAGCGAGCCAGGATGCTGTGAGGGTATGCGAGATCTGGATGAGTGCAAGTCATTAGGTGCATATGGCAACCCACTAGCTCTGCGTAAGGACCACTAGGCTTTACAAACTCCTCACGGACTAGAGACGAGAGCATGTGATCTACTGGCAGAGGTGTGGGCTGTGCGGATGAGAATTGAAGGCCGAACCTCTGAAGGACCTGACACACCAAGTGTGATTGTGTAAGAGTGATGGTGCGCGCTGCTCTGTCCCTGGAGATCTCCAGGCCAAGGTAGCGGCGCAGCTCTCCTTGGTCAGTGCAGGTGTGCCACTTGAGCAACTGAGCCTTCAAGGAGGCCTGTGCGTCTTAGTCTGCAGACAACAGGAAGAATTGCAAGCCAGCTAACGTAGCACGCGGTGTGTGGTGCCACTCGCACGGCGCCTGCCGCAGGCCGTAAACCGGGCCCCAGAGGAGCCACTGGGTCCTCAGGACGAAGGTGCCGGTGAAGCTTGGAGGGCGACGCAAGTAGACCTGCTCATGCAGACTGCCTTGAAGAAACGCTGTTGAGAAGTCGAGAGAGTGCAGCTCGTAGTCACGTTGTGCTGCTACATGTAGTAGCGTCCGAAGATTAGTCATCTTCAGGGTCGGGGCGAAGGTCTGGAAAAAGTCAACACCCTTGCGTTGAATAAAGCCTCTAGCTACGTAGCGCGCCTTGAATACCAGCGGCTCTCTAGGAGGGCGCTTCACCTTGAAGAGCCACAGGCCAACGATTACGTTCACCCCAGATGGGGAAACTGCGTCGACGTAGGTGCCAAGGGATCTCCAAGATGCCATCTTCGCGTCCATGGCAGCTATCCACTGAGAGGCCCAGAGTCCCGAGGTCACCTCAGCATAGGTGCGAGGGGTCGGTCACCCTCAGGGACTAGCAGCATAGAGCAAAGATGAGGCGAAGCCCCGAACAGGAAAGCAAGCTCATACTGCCGGACCTCCAGGACGTCACTGCCAAGGGCAAGAGCACCCCCGACGGACAAAGGACGGTAGGGTCAGTGACCAGAGCGGTGGCGTAGTCAAGGCAACGGGTAGAGGCAGAGTCAGTGACGGCAGCGACAAGCGCGTCAAGACTCGAGAGAGGAACAGACTGGTCGGTAACGAGGGAGGCAAGGACCGGAGGAACAAGAGGACTAGCGGCACGAAGGTAGTCAGACATAGAAGGCAGAGTGACAGTAAGCAAGGACGGAGGACGCGATGGGAGGAGGGGAGGACGAGACGCGTGGGAACAAGTGAGACAGAATGAGCACAGGAGGGACGGCGAGACAAGATGTGAGACGAAGGCGTCGAGTCAGGAGATAGGAGAGGAAACAGATGAGGAGAACGAGGGGGGAGATGAGCCAGAGGTGAGTCCGGCGGAGGAAAGACAGGGCCGTGGACAGGCAGGGGAGGCGGCGGTGGGGGAGGCGCAAGCGAGTGGACAGGGGAGGGAAGGTCGAGGAGGCAAAGGGCCGACACCGGCGGCGACTGCGGCAGCTACTGATGCCGCTCCACGCCGACACAAATACCTCGAGTTGCACCACGCCTGCCTCAAGGACACTCTACATAAACACCCCCAGAACGTGAACCCTCTCTAGCACCGGTGCGACCCCCGAGACCGCCGGGACAAGCCACGACAGTAACCCTAGGACTAGCACCCCCCAGAACGAGAAACCTCACCACCACCGATGCCACCCCCGAGACCGATGAGACAAGCCACGACAGTAATCCCAGGACTAGCACCCTCTCGAACGCCCCCACCCCCAGAACTCGCGGACCCCGGCGGCTGCTGCGGCTGCGACAGCAGCGACAGATGCTGCTGCTGCGGTGGCGGTGGCGGCGGAGGAGGGGACACCGGGGCGGAGACAGGCGGCGAAACTGAAGTCGCAGGACCCTCGGAGTCCGCCGACTCCTCAACCGGGACAAGTGACGGGAGGGGAGTGATGTGCGATACACCAGACGGGGCAAGACGGGGAGGGAGAGGAGCAAGGGCTACCGGGGGTGTGGGAACCAGAAATAGGAGCGGGGAAACCGGGAGGCCTCAGTGGGGAAAGCAGTGATAGAAGGAGACAGACTCGTCAAAAGTGACATCACGCGAGTGAAAGAAGCGGTGAGAAGGCAGATAGTAGAAGTATCAGTCAGACGCATCAATGGGGAAACCAAGGAAGACACAGGGGACAGTGCGGGCAGTGAGCTTGTCCGTGCCCGAGGCACGAACGTGAGCGATGCAGCCCCAGACGTGGAACGCAGACGCGTCACCAGGGAATCCAGTCCAAAGGAGGGTCGGCGAAACATGCGGCCGCTGAGAGTGTGGCCATGGGTTAAGCTGGTGAGCGGCGTAGCGAACAGCGAACGGCCACAGAAAATGGGGTGCACAGGCATGGATCATGGAGGTACGAGAAACCTCTATGACCAAGCCGATGCATGGTTGAGCGACCCATTGTGCTGCGAGGAGTCCGGCAGGGTGTACGACTGGGTGATGCCCTACGCACGATAGAAATGACCAAACTGACCGGAGGAAAACTCGGCGCCACGGTCGGAGTGGAGATGAAGCACTGGGAGGCCGCGGTGGATGCGCGCAGCTACGACCCACGGGATAAGAACGTCAGGCACGTCAGCCTTCCGCTCTAGGGGAAACACCATGGTATAGCGCGTGTAGTCATCGACAAGCACTAGAAAGTAGCGCTCTCGACGCGGCCTAGGGACGGGAGTTGGGCCCCAAACGTCCAAGTGCAGGGTCAAGCGTAAACAGGCCAGATACAGGGTCCTGGGGGAACGTGGTCAGAGGGGCACCAGTGGCGGCCTCGGTACAAACCGCATACCGCTCTTGTCTGGGGAATGTAGTCGTGACGCCGAGGTCCTGAAGACTGCTGACACCAACTAGGTTCCTAGAGAACGAGGGGATGTGCAGGCCTGTAAGAGAGCTCGAGGGGACCGCCGGACAGGGGAGGGTAGTGGAGCTACGAGCTACCATCGGACCTGAGGTGGGGTTAGCAAGCGCTACAGCGGCGGGGGCAGCAAGCAGCGTGAGCGCAGTATGGTCGAGAAAAAACAGGCGGACGCTCCTGAGTCGAGCGTAAAGGAGAGCGAAGCAGTAGCGTCAGCCGGAGGAGGGGCGAGCGTAGAGCCTAGGCTAAACAAGGCAGAGGTCCTACGCCTGACGCATCAGGGGAGCCTAGACTACACACAGGGGAAACACCTACGCTAGGCAATACCGGGTAATAGGGTCAAATCACACTACAGTCATCAGGATACAAGACAGACATAGCAGTGCTAATCTGATCCATGTCAACTTCAAAGACAGGCATATGACGGCGAGCTAGGGCGTACCAGTCAGGAGGGTCCGACGTGGGACCGAAGGGTTGGCAGAAAAGGTCGTCCAGGCTGCGGTAACAGCGGTTGACGATGTGGCCGGACCGGGAGCAGACGGTGCCGCAGCGGGGGCCGGTTTGAAGCTGGTACTGGCAGGTGACCGCACTGGAGCCGCCACCCGACACCGAGCTGCGCCCGCCACCACCACGACCACCTCCACTAGCGCCGCCAGTCCACCATGGCGGCGGGGGTCACCATGGCGACTGCTGCTGCTGTGACGACTACTATTGTGACTGCTTCTCCGGGGCACCAGCCCCAATCCCCTCGTCCCCACCCCCACCCCCCTTCCCTCCACCACGCCCCCCTCTGGGGCGGCGGCCCTTACCCGGACGCGACTGCGCTGAGGCCATAGTGGTGGTCTTAGCAACAGAAGCAGAGACGTCCAAGTAAGAGTACTGGGTGGGAGAACAGCCCTGAAAGTTAGGGACTGGCGCAGTACCGCTATACTGAGCCATATTGCGCTGGCGGGTCTCTATCGCAAACAGGGCAGTAACAAAGGCGGGGAGGGTAAGGTCACCTGGGCGTACGGGTCCAGCGAGGCGCTAAGGGGCCAGCGTGGCGCTAACGGGGCCAGTGGGGTGCTAACGGAGCGGCTAGGACTAGGCCTAAGGCGGAAGCGCGGGTGGGCGGGGGGGGACCTAACCTAGCGTGATACCATTGTCAAACTAAGGACACTAGGAAGCCATGGAAGGCGTGAGGTTTTAGGCTAGGAGAGGAAGTTGAGGAGAGGAAATCGAATGAGAATAGAAGAGAGGGATACAAGGAGGGGGGTTGTACCCTCTACAGTAGGTTTCAATAACACCTACCAAGCCTACCAATTATATATCAAAGATATAGGTAATTTAACAACCATATTAGAATGAGAATCGAATGACTAGAATGATGCAAACAGGTTGGTTTAAGGGGTTGTACCCTCTAAGAGTACGCACATACCAAATAAGACATATACAAAATATGTTTGACAGAGCTGGCTAAAACGGCTGGCTAGCTAGCTTGCACGTTGACTGGCGAGCTCGTTAGCATGCTGGCAGGCGTGCCGGGCCTGCTGACTACCGCACGAACAAATCGAACGCTGGGGGGGGGGGGGGGGGGGAGGGGAGGGGGGCTCGTGGCTACGAAGCGCGAAATTGGAGGGTAGGGGGGTGCGACTGACAACACTAGCCTCTACTTCAATATCCTATTATCATGTACCATGCAACATTTTGCTTTATAACCTTGATCCCTTGTCTCAGTTGCCATTGCCAACTTTTGAAATGAGCTTTCCAAACCCATTCCCAGTCTATATAATTCTCAGACATCCCTCTTTCCTCCACTTTCCTTCTCACTCCCTCCCCCTCTTCCCATCCACTCCCTCCTCCCGAACCCTGTCCCTTTCCCAACCACCCACGGCATTTCCTGAATCTTCACAGGGTCATCTCCCAATATCTCCTGTCCGGCAGAGATCGGCATCAGGCAAGAGGACGAAAGAGTGAGGCTCAGTTCGCCGACCAGCAGGAAAGCGCCGCCCACCGCCGCTACAGGAGCGCCGGGCAGTGGCCCAGCCACACTGCGCTGCAGCAGACATCGTCTTTTCAGGGCAGGTTGCGGGTCAGATGAAATGTCCCAAGAAGAGTCAGTGAGAATACTGTGTGGAGTACCGGTAAACATAATGTCGCGAGAAGTCTGACCACTGGCGTTGGCGTTTGCCGCTGCTGCCCCTGAACTTGCCTGTGTTTGCTGCTGCTGGGCAGACAAACTTGCCCCTCCCTCCCTTCCTCCCCCCGACCCCCCTTCCCTCTGCCTCTGCTCCATTCCCCCTCTTTCTGGCCACTGCTCCATCCCCCCTTCGCTCTGCCTCCTGCTCCTCTTCGCTCCCAGTGATCGCATCAGCCGTGACGCCAGCAGCGATCGATTGTGCGCCTTGTGGGCTGGCTCCTGAGTCAACTGAGTGGGTGCCGACTCAAGCAGCAACCGATTGTGGGCGGGCTCTTGCATGGGTGCTGACTCAAGGGATGTTTGATTGTGGGCCTTGTGGGCTGGCTCTTGCGTGAGTGATGTCTCTAGAAACGCTGGATTGTGAGCCACGGGTGTCTTCTGAGAAGTTTCCTGAATGGTTGCTGGCAAGGGTGGCAGGGAATGATTGCTGCTGGTTGCCTGAGGATGGAGAGAGCTTACGCCCTCCAGACGTGCTTTTATCACGGGGTGAGGCGCTTCAAAGCGTGCTTGTAGCGAAGGTGTATGCTCCGGATAATGCACTTCCGAGGGTGCTTGTATCGAAGGCAGGGGCTGTGGTCTGTGTGTGTGAACCTGTGACTCACAGTTGGGGTGTGACTGTGGGAGAAGTCCTTCACCTGATAGTGTGTCAATAAGCGGCTTCACCTCTGCTACCTCCTCCTCTGTTTTAATTCCCTCCATATAAGCCGCTTCGCTTACCAATGTACACCCTGCTCGTGCTGTTATACTGCTAACGAAGCCCTCTCTTATTGAGCCCCCGTCTACTGCCCTGAAGTCAACATCCATAGTCTGTGCATCCATGCGTTCATGCCCCTCCATAGCAGATGCTGTGGGCATAGCATTCCAGTGAGCTGACAATTCCTGCTGCTGCTCATGCTGGTGCTGCAGCTGGTGATTGTGGTGGTGGTGGTGCTGCTGCTGATGCTGATGCTGCTGCTGCTGCTGCTGCTGCTGCTGCTGCTCATGCTGCAGGTGCTGCAGCTGGTTGTGGTGGTGGTGGTTGTGATGGTGGTGCTGCTGCTCTTGCTGTCTTCTTGCCGATGCAGACATCGAGAGGCGTTCAGGAGTGGTCTCGAGAATGGGTTGAAGAGAGGAGAGAGGGAGCGAGAGAGGAGGGTGAGTGGGCGAAGGGTGAGTGGGAGGAGGATGAGTGGGAGGGTGAGTGGGAGGGTGAGTGGGAGGGTGAGTGGGAGGGTGAAGATGGAAGGAGAGGGAGGGGTGGGAGTAAGGAGAGGAGGACTGGACTTGAGAGGAGAAGGGGAAACGTATGGCGTGGGGAGGAGGGGAAGAGCAGAGTGAGGATGAGGGGAGAGGAGGAGAGTGAGTTGGGGGAGGAGGTGGGGGGGAAGTTTGGTGAGGGTAAGCCGGACTAGGGCGAGTGTGAGTGCGAGAGGGAGTGTGTGAGTAAGAGTTAGTGTGCGGGTGCGGGGGCGAAGGTGAGGAGGGAGGAAGGGGAGGAGGCGTGGGAAAGAGGGAGAGAGAGAGAACGGGAGGGGGAGAGTGCGGCGGGGAAGGAGCGGGGAGTGAAGACAGGGGAATTGGTGGTTGCTGGGTGGGAGGAAAGAGAGCAGCTGGGTGCAAAGAGGGGTGGGGGGACGGATGGGGGGATTGATGGAGGGCTGGAGATAAAGGAGGATGGACGGATGGGTGCGAAAAGGGATGCGGGGATTGATGTATCGAATGATGCGGCGGAGGATGGAGCACTGGAGTCAAAGAAGGATGAACAGCTGGGTGCGAAAAGGGATGCGAGGATTGAAGTGGAGGGTGATGGAGCACTGGAGATAGAGAAAGATGAGCCGCAGGGGGGAATTGGCGTCGCACAGATGGAGACGGGGCGTGGGCTGCTGCTGTTACGCGAGGGTCTTCAGCTGCTGCGAGATGCATGGATTGATCTAGAGGCAAAGCAAGCTGCGCCGGTTCTGCTGCTGCTGGCGCTGCTGCTCCTGATGCTGCTCCTCTTGATTCTGCTGCTGGCTCTGCTGCTGGCTCTGCTGCTGGCTCTGCTGCTGGCTCTGCTGCTGATTCTTCTTCTTCTTCTCCTGCTGCTGCTGCTGCTAGTATCGATGCCGGCCTTTCCAGGTGCATCCCTTGCATTCTCCACTCCACCTCACTGCATGCTTGCTCCTCCTCTTCTTCTTCCTCTTCTTCCTCCTCCTCCTCTCTCACTTCCTCACCCTCCGCTCCCTTGATCCCCCCCTCTTCCTCTCTCACACCTTCTTCCACCCTCGTACTTCCCTCCACCTCCATACGTCCCTCCTCTGCTCTTCCGATTTCCTCTCTGCATTCTCTATCCCCTCCCTTACTCCCCTCCTCTCGCCCCTCCATGCTCTCTCCTCCCTCCTTCTCACTCCACTCCCTCACCCCATCCCCCCTACCAGCCTTCCCCCCATCCCTTCCACACACACCACCTCCTCCCATTCCCCCTCTTGCCGCCCCCCCCACTTCCCCCTTCCCCCTATCATTCCTCTCCCCCTGCCCCCCTTCACTCCTCCCCCCTCCTCCCCACCACTCCTCGCCCTCTGCTCCCCCTTTCTCCCCCCTTTGCTCTCACTCCGCTCCCCCTCGGTCCGCCTGCCCTCGCTCCGCTTCCCCTCACTCCTCTTCCCCTCACTCCGCTTCCCCTCACTCTGCTTCCCCTCACTCCGCTTCCCCTGCTTCATCGACTGAATATACCTTAACAGCACGTTCGACCGTCCACCATACCCACCCCGACCACTACCAGCGCTGCCCGCACTGCCAGCGCTGCCAGCACTACCCGGCCTCCCACTTCCCCCCTTCCCCTCCGCCCCTCCTCCGCGCCCCATCTCCTCCTTTCTTCTAGCAGTGGAATTCCAGTGGTTTTTTACGCTGTTGTCGGTGCGCCCTGGTAGTATTCTTGCAATCTCCGCCCACTTGTTGCCGAGTCGTTTGTGCGCCTCCACAAACGCGTGCTCCTCCTCCTCTGTCCACGCCTCCTGCACAGAAGGAAGCAAGGTGACGGTTGGAGGGGGGATGGGGGGAGGGGGGGGGAGAAAGAAATGACTCTCGCCCCTAGAAGTGGAATTCCATTTCCAGTGGTTTTTTACGCTGTTGTCGGTGCGCCCTGGTAGTATTCTTGCTATTTCGGCCGACTTGTTGCCGAGCCGTTTGTGCGCCTCCACAAATGCGTGCTCCTCCTCCTCCGTCCACGCTTCCTGTGGTCAGCAAACCAGGCAGGTGGAGTGGGAAGCAAGGGGGGGTGCAGTTGAAGGGATTTTCCTAGCAGTGGAACTCCATTTGCTGTTGAGATTTGTTTTAAGACGTCTCAAAACAAATCTTCTATCAAGTCTTGAGGCGCCTCAAAACTGCGTGATAGGAGTCTAGTTTTGAGGCGCCTCAAGACTAGATTTGTTTTAAGACGCCTCAAAACAAATCTTCTATCAAGTCGAGGTCTATTTGCTGTTGAGTGGTTTGCAAATGTGCCGTTTGTAGTGTTTTTTCACGCTGTTGTCAGTCCGCATGTACTGAGATGGCTCGTATTCTCGAATCACGCAGACTTGGTTATCCCCGTTGTAATCACCTTCTCTATCCTCGCTTTAAGTGGTTGTGCCACCGCTCCCTACACTGCTTCCCCGCCCGCCCGTTCAGATGCGCTGCTATGGCAATCACTCACAAACACTCTATCCTCGTTATAATCACTTTTTTTATCCCTCGCTTCAAGTGGTTGTGCCACCGCTCCCTGCACTGCTTCCCCGCCCGCCCGTTCAGATGCGCTGCTATGGCAATCACTCACAAACACTCTATCCTCGTTATAATCACTTTTTTTATCCCTCGCTTCAAGTGGTTGTGCCACCGCTCCCTGCACTGCTTCCCCGCCCGCCCGTTCAGATGCGCTGCTATGGCCGTCCACCCCTTGGCTCCGCCCCGCTCCACCAGCTGCCTCAAGAGAGCATCCTCCTCCTGAAATGGACGTAAACAGTAATCGGGATGGGCAGCAGAAAAATACTGTTGGTGCAACTTTCAAATCACGCAAACCACTCTCTCCCTCGCTATGACCACTTTCGCTAGCGCATTCCAAATGGGGACAAGGAGTCCACCGCACCGCACCCCACCCCACCCCACCCCACCCACAGCAATTTCAACCCTCTCACATGCCCCGCTGTACCGCATTCCACCCCCTTTCACCGCTTCTCACCGGAGTCCACTGCCCCTTGGCATTCGTGCTCGGTGTCTGCTGCTGCCCCTCCGACTCCCCCCATAACACTCCATCAAACGACGTGGCGGCGGCGGCCGCAGCAGCAGCGTTTCCGCTGGCGGTCGCACCGCCGGGGCCGTGGCCGTCAATTGCGCGAGTTCCCCAGAGCGGCGGCGACGCCGCCGTGGCGCCGAAACCGCCGCCGGTCGCGGCGGCCATGGCGGCGCCAAAACTGTCGCGCCGCCGATCGTCATCACGGGAGATTAGGCCCGTCGCCCCACCGATGTCCGTTCTCGAGTCCGGCCACGTGTCCGTCCGCCTATCCGTACTCGCGCCTATCACGGAAGCGGCGTCAATCGAAGGAGCCGCCGCCCCCGGAGGCGGCGCTGACAGAAAGCCTCCTGCGACTAAAGCCGCCGAGGAATTTCGCGGCGGCGCCGTGGTGTGATAGGGAGCAGCTGACGGCCCGGAATCAGCAGCGGCGGCGGCGGGGGCTACGCTCGCCGCGACGAAGGGGAAAAGGGGGAGCGGCGGCGGAGTGCGGCTACCGCCGACCGGCGGAGCCGCGACGGCGGAGGCCGCCGCCACCGGCCCCCCCGGCGCCGCCGCGAATAGGAAGCCATTTCTTCGGTGCTGTGCGGCGTTGCCACCTTGCGGCGCATCCAGTGGCTGAAGCGGCGGCGGCGGCGGCGGCAGCGGCGGCGGGTGCGGCTGATGATGATTGTGAAACATGAGCAGGCCCTCTTGCTGCCGGCACCCCAGCAGGCTGCCGCGGAATCCGCCGACAAACGCGGCGCTACCTGGAAAATCTGCACACCTGCGGCCGCGACACGGCTTCTGGGATTGCGGTGGAGGCGGCGGCGGCGTTTTGAGTTCTAAAAGCGCAATCGCCGCTCCTGACGCACTGACCATAGCGGAGACGACTTGTCTAAGGGGCAAGTGGTCGCATCTGATCCCTAACTTTTTTTAAGTTACACAGCTGGTGCTTTTCCTGGAAGCCTAGGCTGCTGCGCCAGTTACTCTGGTCCTAGACAGGGATGACTAACCTGTCACTCATAAAACGCCTGCCGCGCCAGTGGCGCAAACCATAGTGTAGCGAGGCACTGTGAGGCCATGACTCCTCGCTGATAGGTCGGCTTTAATTGGCGCTACAGGTAAGTTGTGCGTCACAACACAACAAGGCATATTGTGCACAACAACACAACAACTGTGCTCGGCTTACCAACCACAGGTAAGCGACGCTGTTCAAACAGCATGCTTGGATGAACTCGACGATTCCTTCCTAGGGGGGACGTGGCCTGCGATTGGAGAGTGGAGAGGACTTTCAAATATCGATGTACACTACAAGACAGTACAGTACAGTACGTGTACACAAGTACAGTTCAAGAGCGAGAGAGTCTCAAAAAATCCCCGAATCGCGGGGGCAATGTCGAGCTCGTCATTTCGCATACTTCCCGAATTTCTTAATATATTTGTGTCTGGTCAATAAACAGAGGTGCCAACAGGCAATTGTGTGGTAGTTTCGTTCCGCTCTCAATCAACGTATAGTGGATTCGGTAGCTGTGCTGTGTATATGTGATTGTATGCGTTATCACATTGCCCATAAATCCGAGTTTTGGGAAGTGATTCTGATTGATATAAGCGCTGCGTACGGAATTGGGTGAGCATCGACTGTACAGTAAAAAAAAAAAAAAAAAAAAAAAACAAGAGGCGACGAGATCGTCTTAGGGTTGCGGAGCATTTCATGATGAGACTTTATTATTATACATAAAATGTTTTATTTCCATCACAACAAACATTTGATTTTTATTTCACAAACTTGAAAAAAAAACCAGCCCGATCGATTGCAATAGGTTGCTCCGCAACCCAAAAACCGCGTTCCTAGCAAACCAGGGCCGGTTTTGCCGTGGATTCTGTCAACCACCATCTCTCAAGTTGACGACGAGCCGTGTTCAGCAAGTAGGCTATGAGGGTGGTTGAACATGGAACATTGTTGCGACGGTCTAGCTCGGTATGAGTAATTTCAGTAGAGTCGAAGGGTAAAAATGCACGGTTAGTTCAAAGTCCAACTTCAAGGCTGCTCCTCACATCACCTGCCCCAGCCAATCGCCCTCGTCCCGAACCGAGTTGAAAGCTGACAGCCACGCAAGCATGTCCTTGGCGGCTCGGAATTGACGTGAGGGGGCTGTGCTGTGCGAGTGCGAGCGTCTTGTTGCGAGAACTGAGGGCAAGTTCTCCCCTAATGTCATGAGAACTGACATGAAGTGCGGACGGTTCGAGAGTTACATCTCATCATTTTCTGACGTGTTAGGATCTACACGGTCGATAGCTTTAGGGAAAATATACAGTGATTCAGGGGGAATGCGCCCTGATTCCTCATCGCTGGAAATGAACAAGACTCCAAAAACGTCCTCCCCATCTGTTCCTTGAAACTAGACTGCTTCTGCTTCAAGGTGCCCGCGAAATTCAAATCGTTTTTCGGGCTGGTGTTACACCGCACACTGTACCATTTTGTTTTACTGTATGCAATGGAACCTGAGGGAGAGGAGGGAAATCGTACAGTCCCATCTGTACGGGAAAGCAATTTCGTCTTCTTGAGGCCCAGTGGACAGTGGCAGTGCCATTGCCTGCAATCGGCAGGGCATGTGGTAGCATCAACTGACTCCACCAACCAACCTCTGTGGCAACTTGCCGACTGCATCGTCTCCAGCATTACATGATTCATTAGTTGCACAATACGAATACAATGTGACACATCTCAAGAGCATAACAATAAGACACGTTTTGCTTTTGTGAATCCCACTAAATCAATTGGCCGGTTATCCCTAGACAGCGCATTATATACGAATCATCAATAGATGGGAGCACAAGAGACGATGAGAGTGGGGTATGGCCTCCTGCAGGAACCAATATCGCTCGGAGTTGTTTCATGGACTTCTTGGCTCTAACAATAAATTCCTCCTGATGTCTGCAACAAGAGGAAGACATGGAAAGGCAGCAAGAACAGTTTATTTGAAGTGAGTGCACGTAAGAAGGAAAAACAGAGGATGAAGCAAGGTTGGAGGAAGTAGACTGTTTAGTGAGGTTGTACGACCCAAAGAGGAAGAAGCTCTAGTAAATTTTAAAGCCAGCTTGCACATAAGTCAACCCCAGCATCTTGTCCATCATGCGAAACACATGAGTGGATGCAAAAGAAGATAAACATTACTGACAAGTCCACGAGGACAAATATACTGATGAGAAGTTGAGAACACCCACCTTCTGCGGATAGACTTGAACATCTGGACATGTGAGTGCAGCAGATGCTCCGGAGAAGGACATACTTCACATGCTGCCCCATCCATCCCTCCCCTTCCGTCATCCTGCTGCCACTGCTGCCTTCGCTCTCTCCTCCTCTTGTTTGCTCTCTTCCCTCCCTCATCTCCCTCCCCCTCCTCCGCCCCCTCCTCCTCCCCCTCCCCCTCATCCTCACCCACCACTCCCTCTTCCCTCTCCCCCCCATCCTCCGCTTCCTCGCCTGCTCTCCCCTTCCGTCTCTGCCGTTGTTGACTCCGCACCCGTTCCTGACCCTGTTGACTCTGTTGACTTTCTTGTCTCATCTGCAGCCATCTCTCCAGCTCTCCACTTGGCTCCACAACCCTCCCAGATTCAGCCGCCATACATTGCAGCTGAAACACAGGTGATGCGTCCCCTGATTCTTCCCCATGGGGAACAACACCAGCGTCCATCTCCGTGACTTCGTCTCCACTCCGTCGCTCTGCTCCTAACCCTAACCGTGCAGCTGCGGCTTCGTCTCGTGCTGAAATCCCTGCTGCGGCTTCTGCTGCTGGTCCTTCGCCTGCTGGCAGCGCTGCTTGTACAGATGCTTGTGCTGGTGTTGCTGCTGTCACCGCTGCCGCAGGTGCTGAGCCAAACGGCATGTGCAGGAGCTGCCGACCTGTTGGATTGCGAGACGAGTGCGAGATCAACGGCCCAGATGCGATCAGAGGTGATGGTGCATTTACAGTAACACCAGGACCATCAGCTATATTGCTACCATCCAACGCATACAAGCTCGCTCCTCGAATCCTCTCACGGCAAATGCGATAGAGAGAAAGGGGCTCCGCGAGTGAATCCGCCGCCGATTGCGGGGGTGTGTCCTGGTGATGCCGCCATTGTTGCAACGGCGGCAGCAGCTGCTGTTCCTGCTGCTGCCGATCCGGCTGCTGAAGCAGGTGCTGTTGGAGCACGTTTGACATGATCCTAAGCGATGAAATATTCTTATCGATTGCCAAGGGGGTTGCGAGAGCTGTTTTGTGGCGCCTCAAAACTCCTGCTGCTGCCGACACGGCTGCTGAAGCAGGTGGTCTTGGAGCAGGTTTGACATCGTGTGCGATTCGTGTGCGATAAATATTATCGCTAGCCAAGGGGGTTTCGAGAGCTGCTGCCGCTGCGGGGAACGAGAGAAAATGGACGGTGAGCGAAATGGCAAAGGTGCCGAGCCGGTGTCTGGTTGCTGCTGCAGGTGCTGGTCCCTTGCGCACAGAGACGACCCCAACAGTTCTCAAGCTTACTTCCGCATGATTGCCTCGCGGATTAAAGACCCGGCGGATGTAGGAGACTAGACGGTTCTACGAGGAGGACAATAATACGTGAAGGACAAGTTGGACGGAAATTAGGTTTCCGTAAACCAAAGATAGGGGCGGCAAAACCAGGGGAGGGGAATCCAGGGTTGGGTTAGTCCAGCACGTGGTCACCATCCTCGATATCTGTTGACCGATATTTCTACGAGATGGAGTTTGATGTAAAACCTATGTTCCAAAAAGGGGTTTAGGGTGTGGCACCTATGGTCCTGGTTTCGCTTTGGGCTGCTGTTATGAATTATAACTCCGAGTATAGCGCAGAATACTATAGGGGAACTTGATTACAGAATGACGATAGAAATGAGGCCTAGCGCTTATATAGTGCAAGTTGACCAGGGTTGAATGTCGAGTGTTGGACCAGTCAAGGGCTCGACAGTCCCAAGGGTGACGGACGGGGTCAAAATGGGTTCGGGGAGACTCGGGATCAGGTTGGGGCCGAAAAGTTCAACAGGGGCTGGTTTCGCGCGAGAACCAAGGGCCGAGCCTGCGAAACCGAGAGTGTGTACTCGTTGTGGCGAGCCCCAGTAAGGAATCGTAATTCCTTACTTTCTCCCACCTTCTAAAAGAAGGCACTCCCTTTATCGAGGTCGAACCTTTTATCCAAGCTAATCCCCGAAGTGACTGAGGTCTTCAGCCCTGTGACGAGCGTAATGATTACGCCGGCCTGACGAGGTCTTGAGGTCGAACTGAAATCGATTGTCAGAAAACGTCGAAACGATCGCTTTTAATATCAGTCGTCGAAGATGGTCGAATTCTTCTGCTGACCAAACGGGCAAGGGTAAATATTCCAGGGGAAGACAATGAACAGTGAAACCGCCGAGTGGTCGATTGATGATGGCACGTGGCGGTTGAATATCTTGAAATGATAACTGGTGAATAACGTGATGGTCGATGAAATGAATAACCCATTCATCAAACGCGGCGCCGTTCGTATCATATGCGAGAGCACGCGTCCGTATCCCACGAAAGTCAGCGAACTCCATCAACGAAGTGACGAAATTAGGCGTGGAAGAGTAACGGCAACGAATGCTACTCGAAGATGGATGATGGAACACGCCGAAGGGTCAAACGAAAATTGCAGCACTACTGCACTTCTCCCCCCGTTAAGAAGAAATAGCTCCCAAGTTCCCAGGTAAAACTCAAAGAAACCCAATGCTCCAGGGTAGTCGAAAGAATCCCACACTGCTGCTGGAAATTCTCATACTCAGCTTCCAAGATGCCGTTGAAATATATCCGTGTCACAAAAAAACGCGAATCATGATGACTCAAAAATCCGCTCCATGTAAATTGTCTTCATGGTAAACCACTTTGAAGTTCTTGAAATTCCGCAACTACTACGTCAGAAGACTGTCACACGAACTCAAAAAATCTTCAGAAGTCAAACACGGCTTGCGAGCTGGCCCCAACACAGCTCCAACAGGACTGCTACCAAAATCGTTTCGTTTCGATACTGCTCCTAATGGGTGGCGATGATGTGGCGGGGTCGTGTTCACACTGTCGGGCGAATCTCATGAATTGATGATGGAGGCGGTAGCGGGTGATGGAGAGACGCTGACAACGATGACGATTGAGAGTAACTGATACAAATCCCGCTCCATTGAAAAACCTCGAACCAAAACCCGGGGTCGAATGACACCAGCTGCATCAGCTCCATTGTCCGTACACACCGAAAAGTTTGGGAAGAACTGAAACAGCTACTGCTCTCCCTCCGTTCCATATAACCAAAACACTCCGTGAATGTCGGTTGATGTCGCTCGTACTCTTGAAAATAGCGGGCACAACTCCAGCTGTAAGTCCATGATCCTCTCCAGCGAAAAGGCCTGAACCTTACGGTACTTAGCAAATACCGCAACTCCGCTTCACATCTACCCGTAAAACACTAGGCTTCGCGGCGCTTTTTTTGCAGCGCCCCCACGGTTTCTCCACCAGCTGTACACATGAATGGCACCCTTTATATTAGGGAACACCGGAGTCCACCGCCTCGGCATAATGTTTTGGCCGTCGATTGGGGTCAACGCGCATCATATGCCGTCTATTTCCGCCCAGCTGTTACCCAACTCTAGAAATTCTCCGGTACCCCTATTAGCTGGCCGTGCAGACGTTCACCCATCTCCCAGCTGCTACAGGTTACCCAAAACCGCTTCACAGCTGCTTAACTAACTACAGTGACAAAAGATATACAAAGAGTACATCCGGACAATTATTTCCCATGACAAATGGCAAACTTCGGAGCAGCGTTTCTAGTACCTACTCCACCAACAGTTGGCTTTGATCACCACCTGCACCCTCCTAAGCATGTTATCTACGAGGCTAGTGTAAACCTTTGCAAGGATCTTCTCAAACTTTTCCTGGACCCACCCTTTTGAATAAGGGGGTGAGCACTAGGAAAATTGCGAAGGATTTGAGCGTATGCAAGAGTATTGTGCACGATTTCAGATTGAATGTTATCTCTGACACTAGCTACGCTGAGGTGTGGCCAAAGATGCCATAGGTCGATTAGTCCCATCTTATCATGGATTGTCTGCATCGTACCGTTGTAGGGTAAAATTACGAGCAGAGTGGCGAAAACTAGCGTATCCGCCGCGAAATTTAGGGTAACATAGCACAGTCGACTTTGCTCCCTTTCACTAATAGAATCACATTAAAATCCATGGGTCTCGTCACGGTACAGCAGTCAAAAAAGCCCTGATCGGTGGGGAAGAATATCCGGGTTGAGGTCTGGTGAGGAAGAGGGTCACTCCAGTGCTACAAACTCTTGGTCTCCAAGCCATTCCAGGCCTAGGCGGGACACATGGCTTAGAATGGCTTGGAGAGCATGAGTGTGTTGCACTGGAGTGGCCCTTTTCCTCACCATACCTCAACCCGGATATTCTCTCTAAATAGTCTCGACTTCTTTGACTGTTGCACCGTGACGAGACCTACGGATACTAGCGTGATTCTAATAGTGCAAGGGTGCACTATCGACCGTGCTATGTTACCCTAAGTTTTGCGGCTGATACGCTAGTTTTCGTTAGTCTGCTCGTAAATTTACCCTACAATGGTATGAGGAAGACAATCCATGATAAGACGGGACCAATCGACTTATGGCATCTTTGGCCACACCTCAGCGTGGCTAGTTTCAAAGATAACATTCAATCTGAAATCGTGCACAATACTCTTGCATACGCTCAAATCCTTCGCAATTTTCCTAGTGCTCACCCCCTTATGCAAATGCGTGGGTCCAGGAAGAGTGCGAGAAGATCGCTGCAAAGGTTTGCACTAGCCTCGTAGATAACATGCCTAGGAGGGTGCGGGTGGTGATCAAGGCCAAGTGTCGGTGGACTAGGTACTAGAAACGCTGCTCGGAAGTTTGCTATTTGTCCTAGGAAATAATTGTCCGGGTGTACTCTTTGCATATCTTTTGGCATTAAGTTAGATATAGTGTACTATCATAGATTTTAGTGCTCTGAACGCATCCATCGTGTGTCCCTCCCAAAGTGTACCACCATTAAACATTAGACTTTATGTATAGTGGTCGGAAAGCCCAAAAACCCTAATTAATGCAAAACATCCGGACAATTGTTTCCGTCACTGTAGGAGAATATGCAGAGATAGGAGTGTGCATACTTCTAGTCAGAGGAGCTTTAACGAGCTCGCCTACTGACCGCTGGACAGCCCCCTCCTCTGTCGGAAACTCGTCAAACTACACTCGCAAAATTCAGAACCTCCTTCTGCTGAACCAGGTAAAAACCCTCAGCTCCACCGCACCAGTAACTCCTAAAATTTCGAGGAAACTCCATCAGCACAGTGTAGTTTGCAGGTTCACCCCCCTTATTCAGCAGAAGCCGTCGATTAATAAATCGGCACTGCTACCTAGTGGGAATGGTGATTTCCGGGCGACGTAGCTGAGCGAGCAGCAGCCCGACCGCCGCTAACCCATCTGCTCTAGTACTCCCATCGTTCTTCTCCCACTGTTTCAACTCCTGACAGTTAATGAATTCGGCGACCGGTGGAAAAACACTTAATACACACCCACATATTGTTGCCTCCGTTTCCGTTGATCCTGGGGGTATGAATCGCTGGCCCACGAAAAACGCCTCCCCACGCGGGAAGTCGCCCTCGCTGAGTGCACTCACTCCAGCACAACGTCATCACCTCCAGATGGTCGTCGTAGTGAATAGCGCCGAGGTTGTTAATCCCAGCTGCTCCTACACAACTGCACACCCACACGTCCTCGTGCAATCATGTCGTTCCGAAATTGTCGGATCCGCCCATTGCCGAAACAGTTTTGAAGTCCCATCCATCGCCTGCAACTAGCCTGCCGGAAACGCCGGGACCCGCGACACAGCTACAGTTCACGATGCCGCTGCATGGCGTGCCAGACGTACATCGCCGTACATCCCCCCATTTTCGCCACCCCGCGCGCTCCTGACGACCAACTCCTAGCTGCTTGAGGACTCCCGTGCACCTGTCTTCTCCTGACGAAGCCTTTCGTTTTTTTCGGAAGCCAATCCTAAGACTCCGTCCGAATACCCGAAAATTACGAAAGCTCTAACGAACATAACCGAAAAGCACGGCAAAAACATCGCCCATTCTTCGACGGGAAATAATTCCGTCTACGCCCAGAGAAGGGGAGGACCGGCCAATCCCAGCCCTCCATCGGACAGGATTTGACGGCATCGGCAATGCCCGCGCAATTATTTTCCGCGACGTCCGCTCGCCATCACCATCCTTCCGCCCCCTTCCTCGATAGGATCTGCTCCCCTACCGGAAGCCTAATGGGCAGGAACGTAGCTCTGATACCAGCTACTATGAATGATAACTCAGAGTATAGAGCAGAATACTATAGGGGAACTTGATTACAGAATGACGATAGAAATTAGGCCTAGCGCTTATATAGTGCAAGTTGACCAGGGTTGAATGTCGAGGGTTGGACCAGTCAAGGGCTCGACAGTCCCGAGGGTGACGGGGTCAAAAAGGGTCCGGGGCGACTCAGGATCAGGTTGGGGCCGAAAAGGTTGACGGGGGCTGGTTTGGCGCGAGAACCAAGGGCCGAGCCTGCAGAACCGAGAGGTTC